GAGCTGAAGCCCAAGGTCAAGGGGCTTTCACACAGTCCCTAGAGCCTGGCACTTTGAACTTGGACTTAAAGCCTCCAAACTATAAGAGAATAAACTCCTGTTTGTTAAGGCCATCCCATTTGTGGTATATTCTTGTCAGAGTGGTACTAGGTAACTTACACAAACCAGATAGTACCAAGACCAGAAAAACCTACAAATGCAAATTCAAAGCAATGCTTAGAGAAACTGTGGAGGCTGAGTTGAAAGAATAGAATAAATGCAAGGTTGTAACTGTCTTCAAGTATCTGAATGGGTTTCTTGGGTTTTATATGACTTTAACTGCAGGAGCTCTGGTAGCACAGTGCCAAAGGCATTTGACTGCTAACCAGAAGACTGGCAGCTCAAACCCACCAGCCACTCCATGGAAGGAAGACTGGGCAATCTATTTTAAAAGATTTACTGCCTCATAAACCCAAAGGGGGTCGCTATGCGTTGGTATCAACTAGATGGCAGTGGGTTTGGATTTTTTGTTTAACTGTAAGCCATTGTATTTTTAATTGCCTCACATGCATGCAAAAGCTGGACAATGAGTAAGCAAGACCAAAGAAGAACTGATACCTCTGAAGTATGGTGTGGGTAAAGAATATTCAATATTCCACAGATTTCGGGAGAATGAATAAACCTGTCTTAGAAGATCTACAGCCAGAATGTTCCTTAGGAGCATGGTGGGACTTCACCTTATGCACTTTGTTATCAGGAGGGAATAGTCCCTGGTGAAGGGCATCATGCTTAGTGGAGGGTAAACAATAATGAGGAAAACCCCTAAAGAGATGGACTGACACAATGACTGCAGGAACAGCTCAAATGTAGCAACGAATGTGAGAATGGCACAGGACTGGGCAGTGAGTGTTGTGTTGTGCTGTACAGAGGGTCACTATGATTCAGCACCTACTTGGTGGTGCCTGACAAACAAGTTGAAATTTAAGAAAGTGGACAAATAAATGAGAATCAAACTGAGTTCAAATCACTATTAGGCATATTCAAGTACTATAGAAAAAGAATGGGCTACCTTGAGAGATATTCAATTCCCTCCAAACTATGAGTCCTTGATACAAGATAACATTCCATTTCCCCTTACTGTAGATCTGCCAATATAATAATTATGTGCCCTTAAATTGTTGTTGTTAGCGGCTGTAGAGTTGACTCCAACTTGTAGCAACCCTATGTACAGCAGAATGAAACTGTCTGGTCTTGCACCATCCTCACAATCCTTGCTACGCCTGAGCTCATCATTGCAGGCACTGGGTCAATCCATCTTGTGGAGTGTCTTCCCCTTCTTTGCTGACCCTGTACTTTACCAAGCATGATATCCTCCTCAAGGAAATGCTCCATTCTGACAACATGACCAAAGAAGGTGAGATGAAGTCTAGCCATTCTTGCTTCTAAAGAGCATTACACAGCTGTGGTTCTTCCAGGATGGATTTGTTTGTTGTCCTGGCAGTCCATGGTGTTTTGAGTATTCTTCACCAACACCACAATTCAAATGCATCAACTCTTCTTCGATCTTTCTTATTCACTGTTCGTATGTGGTGACTGAAAATACCATGACTTGGGTCAGGCACACCTTCATCTTCAAAGTGACATCTTTGCTCCTCAACACTGTAAAGAGGTCTTCTGCAGCAGATTTTACCTTGAACTGAATTGGACTGAATTGCTTTTGAACTATGGTGTTGATGAGGAATACTAAATGTACTACGGACTGCCAGGAAAACAAACAAACCTGTCCTAGAAGAACTGCAGCCATAGTGCTCCTTAGAAGTAAGAATGGCCAGACTTTGTCTCACTTACTTTGGTCATGTTGTCAGAAGGGACCAATCCCTTCATGCTTCGTGAAGTCAAGGGTCAGCAAAAAAGCGGAAGATCCTCAAGGAGATGGATCGACAAACGGTTGCAATGACGGCCTCAAGCGCAGCAGGGATTGTGGTATTTGAAAGAAAAGAGAAGAAAAAAGAAAGAGAAAACCTAATAGAACTCTAAGCTAGTGGTTTTCAACACAAGATAGATTTGGAATCACTGGAAGTCATTTTTTAAAAAGTACAGATACTCAGGCTTCATCTCAAAACATTCAGCTCTAGTTGAGTCAGTAAAGTGGGAACTGGATTTTTAAGAAGTATCCTAAGTGATCAAAATATACCCAGGGCTGAGAATGGCTCCTTTAAACAAATCAAGGCTTACTTATGGTTACTGAATGCCTTCTGTGCATCCAGGCCTAAGCTACACATTTATGTATACATACAATATTATTTATCTAACAGCCTTAGGTGGTAAGAACTATCAGTACACCCATTCCGCAGAGGAGAAAACTGAAGCATGGAGAACTGAATGTAACAGAATGTGGACAGGATTCTAGCACAGGCAGGTTAACTCTAGATGTCATTCTCATCACAGCTCAGAAGTATACGGAAAATAAGACATGTATAATATACCCCGTGCTCTCTGCTCAACTGCCATTACTTCATGTAATGTTGTATTTATCTGTATTTTAGTCAACCAAAAATTAATCTGTGGAAAAAGAATACTTACAGCTGCTCAACTTGTTCAAATTCTTTTCCATCATCTGTGTAACAAAAGAGGAATTTAAACATTAAGGTTTGTTTACTATTTTTTAGCAGGTCTGTTTAATTCACTTTTCCTCACATTAAGAATGCACTGTGCTGTTTTTCCCTCATTGGAATAAAGGAGAAATGCACTATGTTAGATAGCAGCACTTCTGTCATGCCTTCCTCAAATGCCCCTGATCTTACCCGCATTTCCGTCAAACATAGTTCATAAATATAAATGATTAACTCTCAATTAAGTTATTAAATGCTGGTGTAAAAAATACAGAATGCAAAATTAATTTTCTTAGTGGACCTTTGCTTTCTCATCTCATAACCTATCTGGCACAGGGTGAAAAACAGGAAACTGATAGAAGAATGTTTCCTGTATGAGAACTCTAAAATGTTTGATAAAACTTTTACAAAAAAATAAAAAAGAATTATCTAAGTGAAAGGATAGCTGTTTGTTCTCACAGTACTATGCAGAACCATTAACACTCTAGTTCAAAACATGTATCACCTAAGTGGCACTCAGGTACTAGTAATACCAAAAAAAAGACCAAAAAAATTATGTTTCATGCTAACATTTTTAGGAAGTATATAGATACAAACTCGTAACTCATTGTCACCATTGTTACTAATACACCACTCCAAAAAAGATACCCTGGATTTTTCCAAAAAACTCCAAAGCCATTTTAATATACTAAGTCATAACATGATAGATTTAGGGAAAAAAATAATAGTAATTCCTACCTGGGTTATTGTTTTTTTTCTGGGTATATATTTCACAAAGCAGAATAATAGCCACTAACAGAACAACCTCAGCAACTATTGCAAGGAATGGTTTAAGGGGCACCAAATAGCTCAGGACGACAAGTTCAATGAGCATTTCACTGTGGCCTAACTGGAAGACGGCACAGCACCAGTAGGATCCCTTGTCTTCCTCTGCAAGTTGCGTTATCTTGAGCTTTGTTTCATTACTGTGGGTTCCATTGATCACGTAGAATTTATCACTCATTTGAATGTCAACAGGGACCTGATAAAAGAAGAAGACTAAAATCCATAACTATCATATTGCATAAAAGATCACTATCCTACAGGATCTAGTTTTAATTTACAGCTATACAGTTGCTAGGAAATCACTTACTAGAAAAGGCATGGAATAAAATCTGAGAAGTTACATAAAATAGAGCTTAAGACTTAGAGTTTGATCTCCTGGGAAGTGGCAAACAACATAAAGTATACTTTGATCTAAGGTGTTAGCTTGGAATGATTGAAAGTACAGTGAGTAGATCACCATGGGTAAATAATTCATCAGAAAAAAATTAAGAGAAAAAGTCCAGCCATGTTGGTTTCCTATTCTAATCCTTGACTAGCTCTTTACTCAGAGCACTTTCTCCTTCATAGGAGAAAGTATACTGGTACACAGTGAGATATTAACTCCCCATGATGCTACTGAATCCGATCATTCTTGTACAGGAAGAGCACTCACCCCCGAAGATGAGGCATCCACAGATGCAGGGATTTAAGATGAAAATTTAAGGTCTTTGGAGCTGACGTAGAGGAACCGTACAAAATCCCTTGGGCCCTGGCATACATGGGGTCTGCACACCTTCTGAAGAAGCCCTGGTGGCACAGTGGTTAAGGATTCAGCTTCTAACTGCAACATTTAGTTGGAACCCTCCAGCTCTCCTTGGGAGAAAGATTTAAAGCCTTGGCAATCCTTATGGGACAGTTCTACTATGTCAGAATCTACTAGATGGCTATAAATTATAGGCATACTTTTTGTCTTTTTGCTTCTGAATTTCTCAGGCAAGCTGAGATTCTGGGAATTTTCTTCACTCTTCAGGAGTATTTCTTGTTTTTTTTTTTTTTTTTGTTTGTTTTTTTTTTTTTTTTTTTTTTTTTTTTTGTTTTTTTTTTGTTTTTTAAATTTAATCTATTTAAATTAAATTTTATTTTCAAGCCAGGTGATGTCTTCATTGCTGTCTCACTCCACTCCACTATTCAATGAATGCTCATCTGCCTACATGCATTCTCAGAGGTTATGTAATGAGGCGCTGTTTGAGCTTCTGATTTGCCAAAGTATCACAGCAAACTGGATGAGATGTATGTTACATATGAACCCTAAATCATAGCTAGTGAATCAAAAGTATTGCATTTGTACAAGTGACCTAGTTGATTCTGACACAGATCATTAGTCCACATTTTGGAAAGTACTTGATTCAGGGTACCTGTACCTTATTGCCTGCACTTGCTTCACATCCTAATTTGATCCATGTTTAGGGTCAAATTAAGAGATTAGTATAGGAGTCCTGGTAGCGTAGTGTCTAAGGCACCTGACTACTAACAAGAAGGCTGGTGGTTCAAACTCACCAGCCACTCTTTGGAAGGAAGGTTGGGCGAACTACTTCTGTAGTGATACCGCCTTGGAAACCCAAGGAGGGGTCGCTAAGAGTTGGGTCCGACTTGATAGCACATTACAACAACAACACAGCTGGTGGAGAAGTGCAGGTATATGTAAGACCATATTCTAAAAGCTTAATATAAATCTGTTTTGGTCTACTTTTTGTTTCATGTTATATATGTACAAACGAGTAATGTCATGTAGTTCAAATAACAAAATCACTACTTGACTTTACATATAGACATAGTTTAAAAATATTTACACACATTTAATGACACCTTTTCTCATCATCAATAAGACGAACTAGCTGGAGTATTAATGGTTTAAGTCTGCATTAAGTGATTTGGAGTTAATTCTCTAAAGAATTAAACCCATGTTACTATAGAATCAGTCACTATTCTTTCTAAATGCTTCCTTGTCATCCTTCAACAGCCTCGAACAGCATCAATATTGTCTAAAAAGGAATTCAGTCTCAATGTAAGATCTACACTATCTCATATTTTTCCTTTTAGAATCACATCTTGCTTTTAATAGGACTTTAATTTCACTGGTTATTAGCACAATGGTAAAAGAAGGGTGTCCCCTAAGGGGCACTGTCCTGAATTTCCCTGCCATTAGGAGGAAAGGGGAAAGACAGAAATGATATACTGAATTATGTTCCTCTTAAGTTTAGCTCACTGAATGCTCATTTCTCTTAAATAAATAGGAATTAAAATTATTTGGCTTCCTTTAGGTCTCCAGAAGAGAAAAACTTATCAATGACATTTACTAACAGAACCCAAGACCTAAGTTTAAGTTATCAAAGTTTCAACATCTATTTTTTTCTCAAATGGAAGAGTTGTACTGTATTTATCACAGATGTTCCAGAAGGCAGAAACAGGAAAAGACTGGCTTTTTCTCTAGTTTCATTGAATAAGAAAATAAAAATTTGTGAGGAAGATATTTTGAATCGTTCAACTAAAAATGAATTGTGACTTTCCTTCAAAGAGTTTAAATAAATTGCTAAAAAAAAAAAGTAACAGCTTACAAAACATTCAGAGTAGCTTCAGATATATAATGTAATATGCTAAAAATATGAGATGACAACTCCATTTATCACTGTTCTTTATGAATATGTATTAAAGAACAAGATCACAGAAGTATAAACACTCATAGGTATTTTGAATGTGTTATAATAGTATTATTTAAGAAATAAATGTTTTTTATTTTAGGTTATTCAAATCAAAGACAAGTGATGTGATCTTACCTTTACACTCCCATTACTATGGTACCAGGTCCAATATAAAGGAATATAATCTTGACATTTACATGTCAAGACAGTAGAATCCCCCACATAAGTGATCATTGGTTTGTTTTTTCCATGAATTTCAGGAACTACAGGAAATTTAGAGAAATGTAAGTTAGTGAAAGAATTTGAAGAAGGGGATTCCATTTGAGGACATTTTTCTTTTTTCATTTTATCATTAACATATATATTTTTTATAGAGTTTTATGTAAAAGGAAACCAATTTATATTAGGTACCATACTATACGCAACACAGGATTAGAACAGAAGTCTCCTATTATTAAGCCTCTAATAATAAGTGTCTCTGGCAGTGTAACAGATTAGGCACTTGATTGCTAACTGGTAGCTCTGTGGTTCAAACCCATCAGCCGTTCTGCAGAAGAAAGACTGGGTGATCTACATCCATAAAGACTTACAGCCTTGGAAACCCAATGGGGGTTCTATGAGTTGGAAATGGTTTGATGGCAGTGAGTTTTTGTTGTTGTTGTTTGGTTAATAGTGTTGTAAAGAAGTGTTATAACAATATTATGCATGAAATGAAAGTTTTTATTTTAGTCTCTTTAGTATTTCCCCCATGAGGGCATACATTCTTCAAGTTATCATGCTTGAGATAAGAAAAAAGCCTCATGTTTGCAAACATATTTTTTCTTCTCACCTACCAAGGTTACCCTTAGACCAATTACTTTTTTCAAAGTTATACTCTTTCCATTTGTCAGTTTGTCATACTATGGTAGCTTATATGTTGCTGTGAGGCTGGAGGCTATGCCACTGGTATTTTGAATGCCAGCAGGGTCACCCATGGTAGACAGGTTTCAGTGGAACTTCCAGGCTAAGACAGATTTGGAAGAAGGAACAACTTCTCAAACAACTGGCCAGTGAAAACCTTATGAACAGCAGTGAGACACTGTCTGATATATTACTGGAAAACTTTATGAATAGCCCTGAAACATATAGTACTGGAAGAGGAGCCCCTCAGGTCAGAAGGCACTCAAAATAAGACTGGGGAAAAGCTGTCTCCTCAATGTAGAGTCGACCTTAATGACATGGATGGAGTAAAGCTTTCGGGACCACCATTTTCTGATACGGCACAACTCAAAATGGAAAGAAACAACTGCAAACATCCATTAACAATCAGAACATGGAATGTACAAAGTATGAATCTTGGAAAATTGGAAGTTGTCAAAAATGAAATGGAACGCATAGTGATTGATATCCTCAGCATTAATGAGCTGAAATGGACTGGTTTTGGCCATTTTGAATCAGCAAATCATATGATCTAATATGACGGAAATGACAAAACGATGAGGAATGGCATGGCATTCATTGGCACAAAAAATATTTCAAGATCTATGCTGAAGTACAATGCTGTCAGTGATAAGATAATATCCATATGCCTGCAAGTAAGACCAATTACTATTAATACTACTATTACTCAAATTTACTCACCAACAACCAAAGCCAAAGACAAAGAAATTGAAGATTTTTATAAAATTTTGCAGTCTAAAATTGACTAAACATGCAATCAAGATGTATTCATTATTACTGGTGATTGGAATGCAAAAACTGGAAACAAAGAAGAATCATCAGTAATTGGAAAATATGGCCTTGGTGATAGAAATGATGGGGGAGATCGCATGACAGAATTCTGCAACACCAGTGACATATTTGGGAGCTCTGGTGGTGTAGTCTCCAAGGCATCTGACTGTTAGCCAGAAGGCTGGCATTTCAAACCCACCAGCCAGTACTTGGAAGGAAGGTTGGGCAATCTACTTCCATAATGATACCATCTCAGAAACCCAAGGAGGGGTCGCTAGGAGTCAAATCCAAATCAACAGCACTGAGTTTAGTTTTTATTTAGTATTTATTCATTGCAAAATACCTTATCTCAACAGCATAAATGGTGGCTAGACACATGGACTTTGCCAGATGGAATACAAAAGAATCAGATCAACTACTTCTATGGAAAGAGGTAGTGGAGAAGCTATTATCTTCAGGCAAAACAAGGCCAAGAGCGGACTGTGGAACAGACCATCAACTACTCATATGCAAGTGCAACTTGAAGCTGAAGGCAATTAAAACAAGTGCTCAAGAGCCAAAATATGATCTTGATTATATCCCACCTGAATTTAGAGAGCATCTGAAGAAAACACTTGACACATTGAACACCAATGACCAAAAACCAGACAATCTGTGGGATGACATCAAGAACATCATCTATGAAGAAAGCAAAAGGTCATTAAAAAGTCAGGAAAGGAGGAAAGGACCAAAATGGATGTCAGAAGAGACTCAGAATCTTGTTCTTGAATGGAGAGTAACTAAAGCAAATGGAAGAAATGACAAAATAAAAGAGCTGAACAGAAGGTTTCAAAGAGCAGCTCAAGAAGACAAAGTCAATTATTATAAAGAAATATTCAAAGACCTAGAGTTAGAAAACCAAAAGGGAAGAACACTCTTGGCATTTCTCAAGCTGAAAGAACTGAAGAAAATATTCACGCCTCAAGTTGCAATATTGGAATATTTTATGGGCAAAATATTGAATGATTCAAGAAACATCAAAAGAAAATGGAAAGAATACACAGAGTCACTGTACCAAAAAGAACTGGCCAATGTTCATTTATTTCAAAAGGTGGCATATGATCAAAAACCAATAGTACTGATGGAAGAAGTTCAAGTGCCCTGAAGGAACTGGTGAAAAACAAGCCTCTAGGAATTGACAGAATATCTATTGAGATGTTTCAACAGATGGATGCCAAGCTGGAGGCACTTACTCATTTATGCCAAGAAATGTGGAAGACAGCCACCTGGCCAACTGACTGGAGGCGATCCATATTTGTACCCATTTCCAAGAAAAGTGATCCCAAAGAGTATGGCAATTATCGAACAACATCATTAATATCTATGGAAGTAGATTGCTCAATCTTCCTTCAGAGGAGTGGGTTTGAACCACCAGCCTCCTGGTTAGCAGTCAAATGCCTTAGGCATTATGCCACCAGAGTTCCTTCATTAATATCAAACACAAGCAAAATCTTGCTAAAAATAATTCAACAATGGTTGCATATCAACAAGGAACTTCCAAAAATGCAAGCTGGATCCAGAAGAGGCCATGGAAACAAGGGATATCATTCCCATTGTCTGATGGATCTTGGCTGAAAGCAGAGAATACCAGAAAGATGTTTACTTGTGTTTCATTGATTATGCAAAAGCATTTGATGGTGTGGATTATAAAAAATAATGGATAATATTGAGAAGAATGGGAATTCCAGAACACTTGATTGTGCTCATGAGGAACCTTTACACTGATCAGCAGGCTGTCATTAGAACAGATCAAAGGGATACTGCAAGCTTTAAATTCAGGAAGGGAGTGTGTCAGGGTTGTATCCTTTCACCACACTTGTTCAATCTGTATGCTCAACAAATAATCTGAGAAGCTGGACTACATGGGGAAAACATGGCATCAGGATTGGAGGAAGACTCATTAATAACCTGCAATATACAGATGACACAACCTTGCCTTGCTGAAAGTGAAGATGACTTGAGGCACTTACTGATAAAGATTAAAGACTACAGTCTGCAGTATGTATTACACCTTAACATAAAGAAAACAAAAATCCTCACAACTGGACCAATAAGCAGCATCATGATAAATGGAGAAAAGATTGAAGTTGTTAAAAAATTTCATATTATGTGGGTCCACCATTAAGACCAATGGAAGCAGCAGTCCAGAAATCAGAGGACATACTGCACTGGGCAAATGTGCTGCAAGAGACTTCTTTAAAATTCTGAAGAGTAAAGATTTCTCTTTGAAGACTAAGGTGCACCTAACCCCAGCCACTGTATTTAAAATAGCCTCATATGCATGTGAAAGCTGGACAACGAATAAGGAAGACTGGAGAAGAATTGATGATTTTGAGTTGTGATGCTGGCAAAGAATACTGAAAATACCATGGACCACCAGAACAACTAACAAATCTGTCCTAGAAGAAGTGCAGCTGGAATGCTCCTTGCAAGCGAGAATGGCCAGACTTTGTCTCACCTACTTTGGTCATGTTGTCAGAAGGGGCCATTCCATCGAGAAGGGTATAATGCTTGGTGAAATGGCAGGTCAATGAAAAAGGGAAAGGCCCTCAACAAGATGGATTGACAAAGTAGTTGCAACAATGGCTCAGGTATAGCCAGGATATTGAGGGTGGTGCAGGACCACGTAGTGCTTCATTCTGTTGTACACAGGGTTGTTATGAATCAGCCAACTCAAAGGCATGTAACAACAAACAACAGGCCAGCTAGCCATGAAACATTGAAGAAATAAGACCTAGAATAGAAAAGGCAACTGGAAGTTTGTCCGGACACATTTCAGAACCAGGGGAAGGTATAAAAACACCCAAGAAAGAGGAAACAGCTGTAAACTCAGGCCCTTTACAGACCACCACCCATCTGAGAAAAGAAGGTTAAAACACTATAACTGATGAATAACAGAAGATGAATTCACAGGAGACCAGATGTAAAAGAATGCAGCAGCAGCAGCAGCTTTCAGATGGTACAATGGTGCATATCTATACTTTAGTAATGTGCATTAAGCAATTCTTCAGTAAAACTAATTGCACTGTCTTAATCGAGTATTCAAGTGCTTGGTTAAATCAGCTGAATAAGATTATGTTTATATAAACATTGCAATTTAACAATAAATTAGAACCTAAATCAAAGTGCCAAATTAATGTCCCTTACTGATAAGAAGTTAAATAGGTTAAAAAGTGAAAATGAGGATCTTATTTCCAGACCTGTGCAGTCTATGGAGCAGATAGAATACATGGCATAATAACTTCACATAGTATAAACCCTCAGGATAAAAAGGAAATGATTCAGTCATAACACAGTGATTTCACCAAGAAAAGGTAGAACAATAAATAAATACTTTGAAAACAATCATGAACTGAATTTTTAAATAAGAGAATACTTTCTGTCTAAATACTACAGCCTTGTTTTCAAAGGAAAATACAGAAGATGTCTCTCATGTAAGTGTTCTCCCCTAAAAGGCCAAGCTACTTTTGTTAACTCTCTTCTGTCTTTTCAGTGTGCACCTTCCCATATTTAT